TTTTTGTACCGGGGGTCGAACTCGGGTCCTTGTGCCTGCACAGCAGGTGGCGAAACCACTGAGCTAAATCCCCGGCCCAACCAAATGTATTTTAATTTCCTCTTCCTCTTAGATAAATAATAGTATACTGTATATATGTTTGTCTACTTTCCTTTTTCACTTGAATCTTAATAGCTGGTAGAAGTATTCCTAGTCAATTGCATACTATGTTATTGTGGATCTGTAGGGTTTATTCAGCCATTTCTATAGTGGTAGGGTTTGGATTGTTTTAGATAGTTTGCTTTTATAAATACTGCTGTGGTGAAAATGTTGGGGTAGATTCTTGACAGTAGGATTGCTAGGAGAAATAAAACAGTACCTTTAATATTTTGGAGTTTATGCTTAAGGATTATCCATGAATATGCCTAAACATATATGTATTTCTCTTCTCATTCCAAATATAAAACATAAATAGGACCAGGGATTTAGCTCAGTGGTTCTACTGTCTGCCTCACAAGCGCAAGGTCTTGAGTTCAATTCTCTGTACCAAAAAAACAACATATGTAGTCATTTTCACATTTTATCATACATGTCAGAAGTTATCATGGGTATATAACTTATATCCTTATATGATCTATTTTAATTTATTTAACCAGTATCATATTGATAGATGGCTTAGTTCCAATTTTATATTGTAATTTTTCAGTGATAATCTTTGGATTTCAGATGTATACACATGAGTATATACAAGTTATATGAAGTTTATATAAATATACACACACACAAGTTATATATACACACAAGTTATATATACAAGTATATATGAAGTCGAATCTAGAAAACACAGTGAATGCTTAATTTAAAAAAATTATTAGGGGCTGCGGGTTTAGTTCAGTGGTGCTGCCACCTGCCTCGTAAGTGCAAGGTCCCTAGTTCAATCTCTGGTACCAAAAAAAAAAAAATTATTAAAGTGAAAGATACACTATTAGTCTTCCTCAGAACACTTCCTCTTGGGCCGGGGATTTAGTTCAGTGGTTTCGCCGCCTGCTCTGTAAGTGCAAGGACTGGAGTTCAATCCCCGGTACCAAAAAAACCCCACTCCCTCTTGCTTCAAACACAGTGTCATTCTTGTTACTTTCTGAAGCAGTTCTGGAAGTCCTCTTTGTGAGTGTCTTCATTGTGCTGTCATGGCTACCTCAAAGTCCAGAACTGATTCAAAGTGTTTCCCTTTCATGGTTATTTTGACTGGGGAAGAGCCAAAAGTCGCATGGTGCCAGGTCTGGTGAATAAGTTGGATGAGGACGCACTGTAATGTTTTTATAACCCTGACTTTGTTGGGTGATGCTAGGCAACAGCACTCACCACGTTTGATCACACCTTGTAAGGACTTTCAGAGGTCCTTAAAAGGACTAAGAGGACTTACAGAGCTGCTTCAGAAAGTAACAAGAATGATGAGATGAGTGAAGTGAGGGGGAGCATTTTGAGGTAGATTATTGGGAATGTGTCTTTCATTGTACTAAGTTTTTAAAAATTTAAACACCATTTTTTTTTTTTTTGGGTACTGGGGACCTTGAGGTTGTGAGGCAGGCAGTGGAACCACTGAGCTAAATCCCTGGCCCAAACACCATATATTTTTTTTTTTTTTGGTACCGGGGATCAAACTCAGGTCCTTGCGCTGCGAGGCAGGCGCCGGAACCACTGAGCTAAATCCCCAGCCCCATCAGCATATTATTTTTATTACTCCCTGTCTAAATATGTGTATGTATATAACATACATGTATATATATGTGTATATATATGTATATACAGAGAGAGAGAGGGAGAGGGGTGGGGAGGGAAAGAAAGAGAAAAAGAGAGACAGTGAGAATGAGGATCATTTCCTTTTAAGAGTCCTGTGTTCAGTGAGGTTGAAATACCCAGTAGCAGAAGTAAACATTCTAATTCTGACTGGAGATACGAGGATGTGAGGGATTGTGGTTAGTTGAGAGGAGATGCTTTTCAATTTTTTTTTAGATCTTCTTTGTTTAGTAATACTGTATTATGTTTTTTTGTCTTCTAGTACAGATTACTGTCTGTTTCTTTGGATCTAATGGTATCACTATCATTTTAATTTGTAGATGGATTCTGACCAGGAATTACAAAGCTCTTGCCAAAGGAACAAGAGGCAGCACATCTGGTTTCCTTAATATTGTGATGGAACTAAAAAAATGTTGCAACCACTGCTATCTTATTAAACCTCCTGAAGAAAATGAAAGGGAAAATGGACAAGAGATTCTTCTGGTGTGTACTGCTTCTTGTTCACAATTATGTACTTGAAAACAATTTTGCTTCTGTAAATGGCATTATCAAAATACTGATTTAACTCCTCTTCATGACCTTTCAAGGTTTCCCAGAGGAAACTTTAACAACAGAGTTACAAAAGTTAAAGAACTAGGAAAAAATTTAGGAAAATACAGTATCACAGATACTGATTGAAAGGAGTACTTCAGCAAGTATGTGTTTGAACATAACGATTAGTATATCTTTTAAATCTTCAGTCCCTGATCAGGAGCAGTGGGAAGCTGATTCTATTAGACAAACTGTTGACAAGACTTCGAGAAAGGGGGAACAGAGTCCTTATCTTCTCTCAGATGGTGAGAATGTTGGACATCCTGGCCGAGTACCTGACTATTAAGCACTATCCTTTCCAGGTAAGAGGTGGTTCAGTACTCAGGCCCACACAATGTCTGCCTCTCTGTCTCTGCCTCTCCATGTCTGCCTCTCTCTCTCTCTCTCTCTCTCTCTCTCTCTCTCTCTCTCTCTCTCTC